CGTCAATAAGCAGGGAGGCTATGTAACGGTAGCTGACTTGTGAAAATGAATGAAGAGGATATCTTACTCAACCACAGGTTTGAAACCCTGAATTTACAGGAAGTTGGTGTTGAAGCGCCCGCCAACAGGAGGATACTGTCATCACTCAATCTGTTGGTAAAACAAACCACGTAAAGAGTGGCTAACGGTTAGCATTGAGAAGAAGGCACCCTTCTGTTTTCCATGTCTACATGTATTTGGTGAAGATGGTACCTGGTTCGAGGACGGGTTTTTGAAACATCTCTCTGAGAGGATTGCAAAACAAAAGATCAGCGTGAGTCGTCTTGACACGCTGTGAAACTGGGCTAAAGGTCGCTGCACATGTTGAAGCGCTCACAGGCGCTCAGCAATGTAACAGCATAACGTATCCTTCAAGTCATCGACAAGCTCGCCTATAGAAAAGACCGCCGTGTCACTTTTCTCTTCAAGTGAGCCCTCAGCTTTAGTGATAAAAACATGTTTAAGCAACCTGTGTTGTAGAGCTGTGATGTAGTGACTGATATAGACTGTGATATGTCAGTGTTGTTGTTGTTGTTAGCTAACACCAGACGATAACAACACTAGGTGAGAGTTTCATGACAACACCTCCACAGAGAGAACCTACATACCATCGGCGTGATTGATTTAATGACACAAAAAGATGACAAAGCTGCTAATGAACTCAACAGTTACAGCTTAGACATCCCTGTTGATGCACGTAGCAGCCATATTGGATCTGAACTCGGGCTACTGAAGATTCTCAGAGTTTCCAAGTGAGAATTCTGACTTCAGGGGGCGTTCCTGATGACATATCAGACCGGCAACTCTGAATTTCTGACTTCCGAGATCAACTGGAACGCAGCATTACACCACATGTCACACCTACACATTCACACACTGAAGGCAGTGGTTGCTATGTAGTGACCATTAGAAGTAACTAATTCATTAATACACATGCATACACCGCCAGCAGAGAAATTCAGGCTTGAATGTCCAAGAACACATCAGACATGTAGCTGCAGGAGCTGGGGATCGAATCACTGACCTTCCTGTTGAGAGACGACCGACTCTACCACTGAGCTACAGCTACATACTGAATCTTTCAGTATGCAGTAGGTAGTATGCAGTACATACTATCCGTGCTGTATACTGTTACTACCTACTATTCAGTATGCACACACAGTAGGCAGATATTTGTCCCTACTTCATCTGATTCATTCAGTATGGAAGTAACGTCATTTACGTTTCCCGAACCGGCCGCATCCACCCGTTTTTTGTTTTGTTTTTTTGTTTAGCTTTATTCAAGAAGAGTAACGCGCATATACAGTCAGGTAAACAAACAACAATATCACAATGTCAATCAAGTAAAAGGCAGATTAAATAAGTAAATAACGTACAGTAGGCTACATAAAGGAAAGTCAGTAGGATACAGAATATAAAATAAACTAATAAAGACGCATTTAAATAGTGAAATCATTATTTAAATAGAGGGGGAAAGGTTTTATAATAATGCAGATATTTGTTATATTGTCTATTGTTAATTTAAAGTAGTGATTTCAGTCGGGACTTTAACTCTAGATTAAAAATTGATTAAATTAATCCACGCTCGTTTGTTTTGATTTGGAGGCAGACGTGACGTGACAATTTACGTTTAATTTCGCACTGCATTGTGGGTGGTAAAACACAATTCATTTCCTGAAAGCACGCATTCCGATCCATACTGCATAAAACCCGGAAGTTAGTATGCATACTGAAATGTTCAGTATACTGCGCGGACCCAAAAAATGCATACTGAATGACCACGAAAGTTCAGTATACTGAAACTCCATACTGAATAGTACGTACTGCATACTGAACTGTGACAATTCGGAAAGGGCCCAGCTGATCGAGAGCGGTGTGTTTATCAGGGATTTGTTTGTTCAGGTTTCCCCGCTATCTGTTCCCTCAACGCGGATCACCGTATCCAGTGTTCCGCCATTTATACCGAACGAGCTCCGTCGGTTTGGAAAGTTTGCCAATGGATTTAAATCAGTTAGTTTAGGATGTAAAGATCCTAAACTCAAGCATGTACAGTCTCTGAGGAGACAAGTGTTTATGTTTTTAGATTCATCCTCACAGACTCTGGAGGTCTCCTTAAGAGTGAAACACAGTGATGGCTCATACATGGTGTACGCCAGCTCAGGTCAGAGGAAATGTTTTGATTGTGGAGACCGCGGCGGGGTCCGCGGCTGACGCTGCGTCTGCGGCTGATGCTGTACCCGTGGCTGACGTGCCCGGCGCTGCATTTATAGAGGTAGATAGTGCTCCTCCTGTTATTGTTGTTTCTTGTAATGTGGAGTGAGTCAGTGTAGATACAGACCCAGAGACAGACACACAGGCTGAGCCTGAGAAGCAGCAGGGCTCTGTAGCAGCAGTAAATCTTAGTAGCTCTCAGTCTGCAGCTGTTAAAAGAAAAGCGCAGACAGGTATGAATGATGAGGAAGAAGCTTCCTCTAGTGTAACAGGTAAGAGTCAATGTAATGAAGGTAATGTGAGCAGCCAGGCCTCCTGTGAGGGCGAGGACATGGAGGAGGATTACGAATCAGATAATGTCTCTATTGGTGAAGCCTCCAACCCAAGCGCTGCTCTTTATTCTCTGAATGAAATAAATCAGTTCATGGACTCAGCATTCAATAAAAAGTCTGTAAAAGTGAGGGATTACTTCAGTGACACAGAGAAGTTCATCACATCTGTCAGCACTCTGAAAAAACAGGTGGGTTTTGACCTTTTGTATGAAAAGAAACGGTTTTGTGTCAAAAAACACCTGACTGCATTGAGAAAGAGCAGCAGTAAAATTATTAAGAAATCTAAAAAGTAAAATGATCATGTATCACAGGGTGTCTCTCTTTACACTGTCCTTTGTCTGTTCTTTGTTGTGTGTTTCTCTTCTCGGCACTCCACATGCAGAGCCTTAAGATAGGGTCCTTAAACATTAACAGTGGGTGGACAGACAGAACAGAGCTCTTATATCTGAGGTCTGTTGTCAGAAGATGCTGGATGTGTTGTTTCTTCAGGAAACACACTCTGGTCCGTCTGATGACACAGACTGGGCTTTATGGTGGGAGGGCTCGTATCACCTGAGTTATGGTACAAACCTCAGTGCAGGTGTAGCTGTACTCTTTAAAGTCTCTGTTAATGTTAATGTGTTGTCCTGTAGGGAGGTGGTGCAGGTGTAGCTGTACTCTAGCTGTACTATTTAAAGCCTCTGTGGATGTTAATGTGTTGTCCTGTAGGTGGTGCAGGTGTAGCATTGCTCTTTAAAGCTTAAAGGAGTCCTGTAGGGAGGTGGTGCAGGTGTAGCTGTGCTCTTTAAAGCCTCAGCTAATGTTAATGTGTTGTCCTGTAGGTGGTGCAGGTGTAGCTGTGCTCTTTAAAGCCTCTGTTAATGTTAATGTGTTGTCCTGTAGGTGGTGCAGGTGTAGCTGTGCTCTTTAAAGCCTCTGTTAATGTTAATGTGTTGTCCTGTAGGTGGTGCAGGTGTAGCTGTACTCTTAAAAGCCTCTGTTAATATTAATGTGTTGTCCTGTAGGGAGGTGGTGCAGGTGTAGCTGTGCTCTTTAAAGCCTCTGTTAATGTTAATGTGTTGTCCTGTAGGGAGGTGGTGCAGGTGTAGCTGTGCTCTTTAAAGCCTCTGTTAATGTTAATGTGTTGTCCTGTAGGGAGGTGGTGCAGGTGTAGCTGTGCTCTTTAAAGCCTCTGTTAATGTTAATGTGTTGTCCTGTAGGTGGTGCAGGTGTAGCTGCACTCAAAGAAATGAACTAGGGCATGTGTTTGATTAGCAAACTAGGAATTTGTTTACATAAAATGAATTAATCGTGTTTCGCTTAAGTGATTAATTCTTGTTCATAAAACGTGATTTAAATGAAATTCAGATCAATTATAAACACACATTAATCCCATGAGATGTGGGTTCATCAAAACAACTACTGTTGTACTGTGTCAGCTACTGCGCATGCTCAAAGCACATGCTGCGGCTGAATGTTTGACTTCCTACTTACATGTAAGTAATTCATATGTATATAAACATAAATGTTTTAATTTAACCTGGCGAGTGATAAATTATAGTTGTGAGACATTTCTCTGTTGAAAAGTTTATAATTTGTGTCAATGGTTTCTCAGTTGGCTCTAGGTAGCTCAACTCCGCCATGCTAGGTTTCTATCATTTACACCCCGAGTAGCTACAGTGGTTCTCATTATTGTTTTTTGTGTACTTCATGTGCCATTCAAATGGCGATAGATTAACATACAACGAAGTTTGTAAGTAGTTCTGCAATTAGAGGGACACGATGTGCGTGGAGAGGGGAGTGGGGGTTCCAGCATGTAGCCGTAGCCCTAGCCACTGTACTATCCACAGTGCCAGCACGTAGCCGTAGCCACAGCCACATCCACCACAGTCAAATGTGTTTCATGTGGGCATTGTTGTTTTAATGTCAGAGGAAGCACAAACTTTAGCGCAAGGCTTCAGCTTAAATCAACGGACTCGCTTTTGTTTTCAGCCGGGGCTTCATGGGTGACTGTCGACTCCCGCGCTTCTCTAGCTGCGTGTATTTCAGTTAAGCGGGCTAAATATGTTAACTGAAATAAGTTAAGATGGAGGACAGCGGGTCTGTCGCAGCAGTTGTGTTAAGGTAACACCAAGAAGCAAGTTGAATTAATTAGATAGCTCTGTCTGTAACCTAACAACATTAGAACATGTCGAGTATGCTCGTTTCCTTGTATTTTCACTGGTCAGTCGTGCCATTCTTAAAATGATTCACTATCTGTATTTAGGTTAATATAATATTGCATTTTTGTTTTATTAAATATATGCTCCTCTACATTAAGTTAAACAGTCTGTGTGTCTACCTACAAATACTGAAATGTTTATTCACAACATATGCCTAAATATTGCTTGAGTTTTTAACATTTTATAACTGTTTCTCTTTTATTAACCAGAAATACATCAGAAATTCAGCTGTCCCCATGCCTTGAGATGTTTATGTACCTCATGCAGTACATGGTAAGTTAATATTTTTATCATATAGATTATCCAGTGCCAAATGTGCGTTGTGCACACATCTAAAATTGAGGATTAGTGATTTAGCTTAAATGTAGTGTTAAATTATTTTTGCAAACTGAATTTGCTTTAATTCCTGCTGTACGAGATCTGATAAGTACTGTTCATATTTTGTATGAAGCTTCCTTTTTTGCAGATTTCCTCCAGTTTTCTGTTTTCAACGTTTGATACTGCATTGTTAATACAAACTCATCATCATCTCCTGCATCAATATTAAAGCATTAATATTAAAATTCCTTTGGCATTTCAATGGACAGAACCCCTACAGTACTCTTAATGTACAGGCACACGAAAAATTCTCTAGCTTGGAAGATTCATTTAAGTCAAGTGCAGAGCTAAAGTTGGCTATTTTAGTTGGGGGGGGGGGCTTACGGCTGTTTGGCCGGCAGCCGCCGCCACTTACTGTGTGGCGTCTGTGGCAGGCACAGACAGACCATAGACTAGACAGGGATAGACACGAACTGCTGCGGTTTTTCCGCGGCATGAAAATGGAACTCCGCACGCCGGAAAATTCGCACCGCACCTGGTGTGTAAGGTTGACTTGCGGAAAAAATCACACACGGATTTTCCGCATTTCCACACCGCATATCGCATTGCACTCGGTGTGAATGGGCCTTAAGCTAGTAAAATACAATACTTTTACAAGTATTGAGGGTTTTTGTTTACACATTTTGAAGCACGCAAAGTATTGACAATTATCCTTTAAGATATTGAGATAATTTTCTTTTGTCAATATTGCCCACCCCTAAAATGTACATAAATTATCATTTGCTAATCTTTTTTTTTTTCTTCTTCTCTTCTTTCTTTCTTTCAGTGACGTGTATGTGGCAGTGCAAACATTGTGTGGCAAGAGAGAGTAGTAGGTACAAATTACTTAAACATTATAAACTACATCATCATTATGGGAGAAGCCAACATTATCAATGTATATATGTAAATTGTCCTTGCACATTCAGGACGTGGACTGGACTTCACACCCATGTCTATAAAGCTCATTCCTCTCAACCTACACAGACTGCTTTAAATTCAGTAACATTTAAATGCGAGGTATGTGGATGTAGTGACCTCTCTACTGAGAGAGATTTTTTTATTCATATTGGGACACATCTGCACAGTTGTGAGACAGTTGGTTGTGTATTTCTTGGATGCTCTTTCCAGACAAATATTTACAGTACATTTTACACACACAAAAAGAGAAAGCATCATCCACACACATTAAAAGATTTTAAAACCAGTGTAGTTAAGTTTGTAAACCCTGTCCAAGGATCGGATGCCCCTGATGCTGTTGTAGCTGGCTGTTCTGATGTGTCATTTGATGAGGTTGAGGCTGAGACAGTGACAGAAAACGATAGTGGAGCTGTTGAAAATCTACCAGAAGTAATTGAGCGGAAAATAGCAACAATATTGTTAAAATTAGAACATATATTTCACATTCCAGCAAAAGGATTAGATGAGTTGTTGGAGGAGTTTCATTTTTTAAGTTCAGCTAGTGTACCTGTCACAAAGCGTACAATTATAGAAATTTTCAAAAGCCATAACCTCAATATTGGTCAGGCAGTTGTCGAAGAACTTGCCAATTCTGTGTCTCTCTCTAACCCTGTCACTAAAAGTTTTGAAAAGTGTGGACCTCTTGCCACATCCTATAAAAGAAAACAATATTACAAGCTAAATTTTAGAGTTGTAGAGGCTGTTGAGTATATTTTATCTGTCGAACAAAGGAGGTCATTTCAATATGTCCCATTATTACAGTTATTTCAGGAAGTACTGAGTCACAATAAATGACTGGATAAAGTGATTGATGAACACATAGCTCAAAAAAATAAAGAAGCTTTGCATTGTGATCAGAGAGTTTACAGGTCTTTTCGAGATGGTGAAAATTATAAAACAAATAGCTTTCTAGCGGTTGATAAGTTGAGAATTTCCATAAAACTTTATATCGACGAGTTTGAGGTTTGTAATCCTCTTGGGACCTTGCGCAAAAAGTACAAACTCTGTGGGGTATATTGGGTCTTGGACAATTTACTGCCTGGCTCTCATTCTGCTCTCTTGTAGCCGTTATCAGCAGTCACGTTTACAACTCTCTTCCTGCAGAACTCAGGACTGTGGATTAACATTACTTTTACCAAGGAACAAAGGAACTGATCAATGATTTAAGTCTCCCTCTCAGACAGGATGTTATGAACTTTTACAACACCTGGAATAAACAATCGAGCGGAAAGAGAACACTCTGCTATCTACGAATTGACCCCAAAGACATGAACTGTGACCGAAACCAGTCTCTGCAAAGTCGTAAAATTGACCATCTGTTGAAGGACTGCTGAAGAACTGAATTAAACCACAGTGTTAAATTCTGCATCAAATGAACATTTTTGTCTTTCTTCATCTAGATATTTGTAATTGTCACATTGAATGTATTATAATCATCTTTTTAAACTTAAAATCTGATCTTCAGAATAGGAATAAGAGTTATATTATGTTTATGTTTAATTTGACGTGGAGCGCTATTGCCATCTAGTGTTAGAATATCCATGAATACGTAACCTTCATAATTATACATTTAGACGTGTTATAAAGCATACTCTTCGATATTAGCTATAGAAGGTGTTATTTAAAGACACCAATTTCTTTTTCTACTTTATTAATATGTCTTATTAAGAATGCTGACTGTATAACATGTTTTTGTTCACCTACAGGCTGGGATTGACTGAGGATGTTCCCAGATGGTGTGAATTTTATCTCAACATGAATCTGATAGAAATGTTTGTCTAAATATATAACGTGAACCTACATCAAAGTGGATCTGATAGAAATAATATCAAAAGACTCTTTAATAGTTTTCCTGTTGGATCCTCTTGGAGCTTCTGAGACGACGGCTGAACCGACGTACAATCTCCATCCCAGCTGCATACTCCGACCAAGGTGTCAAGGCATCTAATCTGGCCCGTGGACCTCTCTCTCTGGGCCTAAAAAGAACCGCTTGCCAGAGACTGAAACACATTGAACATTGAACATTGAACATTGAACACATCTCACAGTAAGACTGCTGGTGGCAAATGGGTGTTGGAAGATTAAGTCTTGAGTCGTGTCTATTCAGAGCCCTCCTTTAAATCCAAATAGAATCCCAAAATTCCTTTATCAACTTTTTCTTTTTGACCATTTTCTGATTAAGTCATTCAAACAATACCGCGTCTTATCTCATTACTAAATATATAATGTCACCATACATTATAATTACATTATCCTGATCATAATAATCATATTCTTTATCTGTTTCATCTATACATTATTGTTTACCCCTTTTTATATTAAATTTTACACATAAAATTCAGGACTTTGTCTGTGTGTTTTCTTGTTTAACATTTCCAGAACTTACTTCTTTCAAGATATGAAACTGACTGATTAATTAATTAACTTATACCATTAAAGTTATTTTCTTCCTTTAACAGGAAGTGGTGCCCCTTCTTAAATCCAAGGTTAAATAAAGATATAACATCTTAATAATTTAATTATTAAATTTAACTCTCATCAATTTATTTAGCTGTTCTTTGTAAAAGTGACGATTTAAGGAAATTTGGTTTCGAAGAAGTGTTGGATCCACTTTTGAAAGATCTTGTAATTTTGGAGGAACATGGTGTGTTCATCAGTCAGTTCAATGAGTGTATCAAAGGCACTGTGAGTTGCGTAATAGCTGATAACCTGGGAGCCCATGGCCTGGCTGGTTTTGTAGAAAGTTTTTCTGGTGAATACATCTGTAGATTCTGTACAGCTAAGAAAACAGAAATTCAGTCGTTAACAGCTAATCGCTTTGAGCGTAGAACACAGGAACTTCATGATACACATTTGCAGTGTGCACTGGAAAAAGCAAGTGCATGCTATGGTGTTAAACGTGAATGTTTGTTCAGTAAGAATCTCTCCCATTTTCATGTTACTGCAGGCTACCCTCCAGACCTTGCCCATGATCTTTTTGAGGTCATAATACCTGTAGAGCTAGCTCATTGTTTTAAAAAGTATTTCAGGTTAGAAAAACTTAACAGTTTGATCCGAACATTTGAGTATAAATGGGCAGATAAAACAAATCGGCCTTGTGTAATACCACAGACTTTCTCAGTAAAAAAGAGCATTGGTGGAAACGCAATTGGGCTCTGCTTCGACTGTTGCCTCTGATCATTGGTCCACTTGTTCCAGAGGATGAACCTACATGGCATGTTGTTTTGGATCTCAAGGACATAGTGGAACTTGTTGTAGCCCCTGTCCACTCTGAAGAGTCAATATCTTTCCTCGAGTGTAAAATTGATGAACATCGGCAGAGATACCAAGAGCTTTTTCCCAACAACAGGCTTCTCCCTAAACATCATTTTTTGGAGCACTATGCTGTTCTGATTCGCCTTTTTGGCCATCTTGTCCATACATGGACGATGAGATTTGAGGCGAAACATAGTGTCTTCAAACAGATTGCTCGCCATACAAACTGTTTCAAAAACATACCACTCACACTCGCAAGAAAACATCAGCTTGTGATTGCCTCTGATTTGCACTCTCTTGACCATAGGACACCTTTGGCAGTAATAAGTGTCTTATCAGTACCAGTAGATGTTTTGCAAAGTGACATTGCAGCTGCTATTAGGCAAAGATTACCAAATGAGACTGATGTCAACATTACCAACTGTGTTTCATACAATGGAATGAATTACAACAAAGGAATGATTCTTGTCCATGGGCAATTATTTGGTCTGCCTGAGTTAGCTGAAATTCTGCAGATTTGTATTTTGCAAGGCAAGATACATTTTATTGTGAAAAGTTATCCAGTTGGTGTAGAGAGCACTTTAGAGCTTTTGAACTGGACACGTCACGTGAGAGAGGTGGCTTGATGACTACCCGTTAGCTACCTATTCAGTGGGATGCCTGCATCTGGTTTATCTGAAGACACACACTAACTTGCACAGAAAATAAGAGTAAGTATTTACCCCCACAATCAACCTAATCATGTAACCATCACGCAAGGACCTGTGCATTATACCTGTCAAATAAATAAACATCACAAGGCACCGTTTGTCATAAAAGTGCCTCTTCTTTATTGGGATATATTCAACCTGATTGTTTGTGTGTGTGTGTGTGTGTGTGTGTGTGTGTGTGTGTGTGTGTGTGTGTGTGTGTGTGTGTGTGTGTGTGTGTTCAGGTCTCCACAATGACCCAGCCTATGAGACTGAGGGTCATCCTGGGTGACGATGATGCCAGAAAGCTAATCCTGCCGGCAGGTAGACCAGGCTCCATGGAGGAATTGTACCAGACTATAAAGATGAGTTTTGGATTAGAGCAAGATTTCCATCTTCAATATCAAGATGCTGATTTTGGAAATGAGTTCATAAATCTGTCAGAGATCTCTGACATTGATGACAAAGCGACTTTAAAGGTGGTCTATGTTGTGGCAGTCTACTTGCAAAATTCTACAGAAGATGACTCGATGCTTCAACCTCTACCAGTCCAAAACCTTACTGATTCCTCATCAGTCTCCTCGGTTGACACAGATAATACAGAGTCTGCTTCATCATCGGGGTCATCGCCATCTGCACGGCTGATCAGTTGGCCAAGTGTTTTCACAGTGCCTCCCTTCAACTATGAGTCTGAACTGCAACTTGAAACGGCCAATGCTGAATGCAGTACGAATGGAACTTATTTGAGCCCGCCACCAAAGCTGAAATCTCACATTCTGGAATGACTGTCTGAAGAAATTCTTAAATTCAAAGCCTATCCAACTGACAATGATCTTACTGACATTGCAGAAGCACTTGTGAAAAAGCATCCTTGTCTGAGGGAGCAAGGATCCTTCAATGGCTGTTATGGGTGGAAGATTAGCCTCAAATACAAAATGGCCAACTTCCGGTCCAAACTGAGGGGCCTGGGCTGTCCTGAGGTGACGATAAATTCACTAAAGAACAAGAACCAAGACAAGCGTTTGGCAGCACTGAATGTGAAAAAGCCCAGGAGGGCAGAAGTTAATTACTGTCCTCAGCATCCAAAAGGAGAAACCGCTGAGAGTCTGGAGAAGGAAAGAAACGCACTGCTTTCAAAAAATAAGAAGAACAACAACGACCATATGGTGACATTGACAATGGAGAAGACTTTCTCATACAGGAGGCAAGAAATCCTTACAGGAGAGCCTTTGGTTGCAGACTTCAAGAGTAGATGGCCAGCTCTGTTCAATGCGAAAGAGGTGCGTGTCCTATGTGTGCTCAGGTTTAATTATTACCAGTTATTTTTCTCTCTACTGATAATGATTAAACAACTAATTGTTCATTGCTCATTCTTCTTGGCTTATGATGTTCTTACAGGGTTAGTGACATTTGCTTTATTGTTTTCCAGATCGATAAGGAGTTCCATCGCATATCAACTGTACCTCTACTTTCTACATTCTTTGCTGCTCTCAACCAGTTCTCTCCGCGCCTGATGGAGATATTTTCGTGCAAAGGTGGAGCACCTGGAAGAAGAATGAGACACATCATGGTGGATATTTCCAAGGTTTGTATTAAAGAGTTGATTTCTGCTTATACAATGTTTTTACATAAAGAAATAACGGATGCCCTCACATTCCTGTTAGCAAAAGACGTGCCCTATCAACACCATTAGTAACGGTTTAATTTTTTATTTTGACATTTATTTTATTCTTTTTTTTAAATATATTTTTCACTTATTTGCAGTTTTCTTGTTCTTCAGTTCAATTAGGCCTATATTTAAAGTTCAAATGAATTTTGTTAAAAAAAAACACCTGTGTTCAAAGTTAAATAAATGCATGATGTTCTCAAATGCATGATGTTCTCAAACAATCATGATTTGAATCATGATTTGTGCCAAAATCAAGCAGCCCTAATACACTGTCAGCTGTATCTGCAAGACTGGTGTCTGACTTTTGATTTTAGCGCCTATAAATGATGCCAACACACTGTATTTTTCAATGTGTAAAGTTTGTATTGTAATTTTTATAGTGCTTTTTTCAATGTTTCCTGTTGTACCAGAAGTTAGTAAAGACACAAAGAATATCATAAGTAAATTGACCACAACGAAAGGAAGCTACAGAGACGTAACATGAGAGGAAAGGAATGATTGGGAGAGTGATGAAAAGCTTAAAAATTTACATTTGTACAGTTACCTTTTCAAACTGCTGCCAACAATAAATAATATTGTCTAAACAAGTTCCTTTTTTCCCTCAGGACGACACAATTCATACAAGACGTGCATGTGTCCTCAAGTCCTTGTGCATCTACTTGAACGAAGACCCAGAGAAACTTGTTAAGGATTATATGGCGAGTTACGTACACAATGTTTGACAAAGTAGCTGTAAAACAGTTGGAAAAAGCAAATCTTTACTTGCTTGGTATGATAAATTCACAGTAGAAATTAATGGTGAAACGTACGTATTAAAGCTCCAGTGTGTAAAAGGAATTGCCGTTTTTCCAGAACACACTCTGAATATAATATTCATAAGTATTTTTTTATTGGTATAATCTCTTGAAAATAAGTTATTTCTTTAATGGCCTTAGAATGAGCATTTTATATCTACACAGGAGCGAGAAGCGCCGCCATGTTTCTGCAGTAGCACAGAAGGGACAAAGTTAACGGCCTTACAGGGTGTTTTTATATATAGTGGGTGTTCTTGGGAAATGCACCTGTTAGAATAAGCTGTAGCTATTGTAAATTCTCCCTAAAGGGCAAAATACATGTTATAACACACTGCATTTTTTAGGCCTAATACAAATTCTGCCTATTATTTTATCTAATTATGAAATTTCTTTGAGTTTGAAAACTAGAGACCTCAAATTTAGTGTTCTCAGTTTTAAACAACCATGACAATATTTATCATCATCTATTTTGTGCAGAGCTGAGTTGAATTCATAAATTCAAGCAAACATAAAACAAAATGTATTTATCATATCCCACAGAACACAGACAGCGAGGTCTGCGCTTCCATGGACCAGACTGTGTTGGGAGTGTATGTCATACAGAAGGAGGGTGCGGAGCCTGGAGATGACCCAGAGGACATCGGTATCCTGATTGAAGGTGTGAAGATCCTCAATGAGTTGGGCAACATTGGGATTGCCTGTGCTTTGTTATTTGGACTAATATACTGTCTGAACCTGAGCTACCCACCAGACCTCAAATGCACTTTTGAAGTGATGCAGAAGATTCTTCTGAATCTGGATGGGAAGAGGTTGTCGTCCAAGGCACAATTTCTAAAAAATAAGCTCATGGAGTAAATTTGCTCTAAGTAGACGACAACAATGCAGATTTTTTTTTTTTTTTTTTTTTTTTTTTGCTTTAGTTTAAAATTGGAATTCATGAAAATGTTCAGAAGGACTTGCATTTAGTATGCTCAACAGACAGAGCCCAAGAATGTTGTCTCAGGTTGAAATGTGTTTGTAAGCAGTCTAGTGTAGCTGTTTGTTCCTGGTTACTTTCTGCAGTAAGACAGTAAGAACTGGAAATGACAGTCATGCACTTACTGAAATATTTTATAATGCTGTTTAGTAGTGTTAAATGTTTTGATGAGAAAATGTTTTAGATGCATTTGGGGGAAAAATGTATATTAAACTTTAACCTTACATGAGGATACCCCACCAAGTTAAAATGTTTTAACATGTCTAAGGTATTTCTGCTTATGTGAAGAAAGCTATATACTTTTGGGGCTCCAGAAGAAGCTGTATGTTATATGCTAAAAATGTTATTCAGTAGCAAATTGCTACAATTGCATTGTGGGTAATGCAGGTAAAAGGTTTATTAACGCCAAATGTTAAATAAAATGTCAAATGAATTTGAATGTTGTCATTTTTATGCACATTTGGTCATATACAATACATTCTTGTCCTAGGAATGAACGCAATACTAATTAAACCAGCAAGGTTGACATTAGTTCATTCAATAACACTGACATTAGTATAACTGACAAACCCAGTATGTATTGATAAAACAAGGTTGAATTTTTTTCGACTTAGGTGTTTGACCAATGTAGAATACATTCAATTTGATTTAACCAAAATAACTAAGAACAACCATTTAAATTCAACAAGATGCAAATTAGTTGTGTGCAAATATTAATATGATGTTCAACCCACACATGTATATTGTGTTCAAATAACATGATAAAGTTTGGCTCACTTAACATGATTTGTTTAGATGGAATATAGGTGGCATGATAAAATCATGTTAATCCAATGAATTATTATTTTGAGTGTGTACTCTTTAAAGCCTCTGTTAATGTTAATGTGTTGTCCTGTAGGGAGGTGGTGCAGGTGTAGCTGTGCTCTTTAAAGTCTCTGCCTCAGCTAATGTTAATGTGTTGTCCTGTAGGTGGTGCAGGTGTAGCTGTGCTCTTTAAAGTCTCTGCCTCAGCTAATGTTAATGTGTTGTCCTGTAGGTGGAGCAGGTGGAGCTGTACTCTTTAAAGCCTCTGTTAATGTAAATGTGTTGTCCTGTAGGTGGTGCAGGTGTAGCTGTGCTCTTTAAAGCCTCTGTTAATGTAAATGTGTTGTCCTGTAGGTGGTGCAGGTATAGCTGTGCTCTTTAAAGCCTCTGTTAATGTTAATGTGTTGTCCTGTAGGTGGTGCAGGTGTAGCTGTGCTCTTTAAAGCCTCTGTTAATGTTAATGTGTTGTCCTGTAGGGAGGTGGTGCAGGTGTAGCTGTGCTCTTTAAAGCCTCTGTTAATGTAAATGTGTTGTCCTGTAGGGAGGTGGTGCAGGTATAGCTGTGCTCTTTAAAGCCTCTGTTAATGTTAATGTGTTGTCCTGTAGGTGGTGCAGGTGTAGCTGTGCTCTTTAAAGCCTCTGTTAATGTTAATGTGTTGTCCTGTAGGGAGGTGGTGCAGGTGTAGCTGTGCTCTTTAAAGCCTCTGTTAATGTTAATGTGTTGTCCTGTAGGGAGGTGGTGCAGGTGTAACTGTGCTCTTTAAAGCCTCTGCTAATGTTAATGTGTTGTCCTGTAGGGAGGTGGTGCAGGTGTAGCTGTGCTCTTTAAAGCCTCTGCTAATGTTAATGTGTTGTCCTGTAGGGAGGTGGTGCAGGTGTAGCCTAAAGGAGTCCTGTAGGGAGGTGGTGCAGGGCAGGTTGCTGCTCGTCCGGGCTCAGATAGATGGCTCTGTGCTCTGCTTTGTTAATGTTTATGCTCCTGATGTTGGAGCAGAGAGGGTCGCCTTTTACACCCTGCTCAAAAGTGAGCTGATGGCCTACCATCAGGACCAGATTATCATCGGGGGGGGATTTTAACTGCACGTTAGACTTCACTGTAGATAGGATAGGAGAGGAACCTCACTCACAGTCATCCCGCTCACTCAGCTCTGTCATCTCTCACTTCAATCTGTTAGACACATTCAGGGTCAAACATTCACAGACCAGACAGTACACATGGATCAGGGTCATTAACAACACAGTACATGCAGCCAGATTGGACCAGTTCTACATCTCCAAAACCCTCAGCCCCAAACTGGTTCACTGCACCATCACTCCTGTCGGTTTCTCAGACCACCATTTGGTTAGCATCCAGCTAATCATGTCACCAGGTGAAAGGGTTAAATCCTGCATTTTAACAACAAACTGATACAGGACAGCTTCTTTTGCCAGAGCTTTGGGACATTCTGTAAACAATGGCAGAACAAAAAAGCTGACTTTGGTTCCCTGAAACTGTGATGGGAGGTCGGTTAGGCCCAGATCAGAGTGTTCTGCCAGCAGTACTCTTCTCACTCTACTGCCCGTTTAAAAGCTGCTGTGAAAGACCTGAGGAAAACATTAAAGACATTGAGGAGGGGTTACATTGGAGTTCTGATCCCTCTAATGGTCCTAGGCTCCAGGAGAGGAAGATGGAGCTGAGCACCTTCCTGCAGGAGAGGGTGAAGGGAGCCTTGGTCAGGTCGTTTTGTTTTGTGCACTAAAGGCTTTTGGTTTTGGTGATGGGTTTATGTCTTGGCTTGGTTTGTTGTATCAGGGTGCACAGTGTTTGGTGAAGATGGGGGCAGGGCTGAGCCGGCCAGTCCCTGTACAGCGGGGCATCGGACAGGGCTGTCCCATCTCCGGCCAGCTGTATAGCTTGGCTATTGAGCCCTTGCTGTACAGGTTGAGGGGCCGACTCAGCGGGTTCTCTTTGCCCAGGTCCTGTGTCATTGAGCGTCCCCCTACCGTCTCTCCTTATGCAGATGATGTTAATGGTTTTGTCTCCAGCCAGGGGGATGTACGATGTCTGCGGGACACCCTGTCCCTTTTCGAGAAGGCAACATCTGCACAGGTGAACGAGAGAGCGAGAGCGAGAGCGAGGCTCTGTTTCTTGGACAGTGGAGGGACCAGGCAGTGCCCAGTCTGCCTGGTGGACTTGAGTGGGGGAGGGAGGGGTTGAAAGTGTTGGGGGTTTGTTTGGGCACTGAGGGCTTTCAGAAAAAGAACTGGGAGGGAGTAATGGAGAAAGTGTGCATTAGGTTGTCTAAGTGGAAACATCTGCTACCCCAGTTGTCATATAGGGGAAGGGTTCTGGTTGCTAATAACTTGGTCGCCTCGACTCTCTGGCACAGGCTCACTGCGCTGACTCCACCAAAGGGTCTGATAGAAGACATCCAGAGGACCATCCTGGACTTCTTCTGGTCTGGTTGTCACTGGATCAGGGCAGCAACCCTCTACATGCCGTTGGTTGAAAGTGGCCAGGGACTCATTGACATTTGGTCTCGAATTGCCTCTTTTAGACAGCACAAAGACTGCTTTACGACTGTGGTCCCAGCTGGATGGACACGGCTCGCCTGCTGCTTCAGAAAGCTGGAAGCTGGGGGTATGATTGACAGCTCTTTCTGCTGAGGTCTGAGGAGATGGACTTAGTGGACTGACCTCTTTCTACAGCTCCGTACTGCAGGCCTGGAGGACCTTATATTACAGATGTCTCGGGTCACAGTTGAGACTCCAGGCATGTGGCAGTTTGAGGAGCCGCTGTTCTTTAATCCCTCACACCCTGCAGTCTGCCAGTTTGAGAGTCAGTCTGCACCAAACAGGGGCATCTGATGGGGCTGATGTCTTTACCTGTGGCCACTTCTAGACAGAGGAACCAACATCATGTCAGTCAGACTGGTCCACAGAGTCCTGGAGGAGGTCTGTGCTGCATTGTCACACCGGCAGAGGACTTTTGTTAGGAGCCAGACTCTGTGTGAGCAGTGGGCTGAGGGGGAGAGTACAGCTTCCCCTCTTTGTCTGTCTCCCCTGCTGTTGGGGACTGGCAGGAGGGGGGAGGTCAGCTGCTGTCCCTCACAGCCATTCACCTGGAGAACTTTCAGGAGGTGGAGAAAAAGACCATATAGCAGGTGTGTGTGAAGGTCCTGAACGTCCGGTCTCTATCGGGAGTCAGGGAGTCGAGGTGGACTGAGTTATTTGGCCCAGAGGCTTCCCCGAAAGGCTGCTGGCGGTCCCTGTACAAGCTGCCCGTTGAAAAACGGACAGCTGACCTACAGTGGAGGGTGGTACATGGAGCTATAGCTACATACAGATACAAAGCGCACATTGATCCTCGGGTGGGAGAGCAGTGTGGGTTTTGTCCTGAGCCTGAAACCCTCACACATTTATTTGTTGAGTGTTCACATCTCGCTCCTTACTTTGAGATGTTAAAAAAATGGTTCCAGGCTCTTGGGGAGGTCTTTTGTTTTGTTTGTTTTTGGCCCAAAATACTCGGCCAAGAAAAAGGCCATCCACACACTGATAGATTTTCTGTCTGGCTCTGCTAATTTAGCAATCTGGCTGAGCAGGAGGAACCAGGCAAACGACTCTGGGTGTGTGGATCCGTTAATGGTTCTGAAGGGACTTGTGAAGGCCCGATTGAGGGTGGAGTTTGCATATTATAATATGATGGACGATTTGCAGACCTTCATTCATGTGTGGGCTGTAGGGGGTGCTCTGTGCTATGTGGGGGAGGGGGACATCTTGTGGTACATTTCTGATTTTTGCTGTTTGTTTGTTTGGTTGCTGTTGGTAAAAAGAAAATCTGACTTCTCTTTGAGAAGTAAATATAGGTTTTTTAAAAATCAGATATCTGTCTCTCTCCCTCTCTTTCTTTCTCTCTCTCTCTCTCTGTAGGCTATATGTGAAATATGTGACATGCCACTCTGCATAATGTGTGTATGTTTGTGGAGCCATGTAAAAAAACACATCAATAGCGGGAGTTCTGTTGTTTTTCTGGTATGTAGCATATCACTGCCTCACCATTTTTCACTTATACAAACGCTGCTGTGTACACGTGAGTGCAAAAACTGTTAGTGTCATGATTTATATTCTCTTGTTTTAGTTCTCATTCTCCCCTGGTGTTCCTGGTTTCTCTTGTGTGTTTCTTGATCTTAATGTTTTAGTCTTTAGAGTTGTTCTTGTGTTTCTTGGTAACAGTGTGTATTATTACATTCTTGAGTTCTCTGTGTCTTCAGCGTTTCAGTATTTATTTCATAGTTCTTGTCCTCAGTGTTTCTTAATACCTGCCTCTGTGTTTCCCTCCAGTCCTGATCACCCTGATTGTGTTCACCTGTGTCGTTAGTCTCACCTGTGTCTGATTACCTCTGTGCGTGTTTTTTCTGGATTAATGGATTCATTTAATCAATTTTCAATCTAGAGTTAAAGTCCCGACTGAAATCACTACTGTTAATTAACAACAGAAAACAACAAATGTCTGCATTATTATAAAAACCTTTCTCCCTCTATTTAAATAATGATTTCACTATTTAAATGTGTCTTTATTGGTTTATTTTACTTTACTGTATATTACTGTCTTTCATTTGATCTTTCCTTTATGTACTGTATGTTATTTTATGTTTTACTTGATTTACATTGTGATATTGTTTTTTTTTTTTTTTTACCTGACTGTATATATGCATCACTCTTGAATAAAGCTAAACAAAAAAAACACGGGTGAATGCGGCCGGTTCGGGAAACGTATATGACGTCACTTCCATACTGACTGAATCAGGAGAAGTAGGAACAAATATCGGCCTACTGAACAGTAGATACTAAATGTGTTCCTTCCCTCTTGTGTCCTGTGTATTTCCTCCTTGTTTCCCCTTTTGGATATTTTATTTAGTATGTTTTTTTTTTGCCTTTCACCTTGCTTTTGGTAAATAAATCTTTGTGTTAGTTCTGCACCTCCTCTTTGTTTTCCCTCAAACCCTGACAGTTAGACCGCTTCAGATCATAAGGTATCACATGGAGTAAAGACACCCCCCTTCCTGTTTTCATACAGTATATTGGTTAAGCTCCAGTCGTTCTCATTCATCCTTTTTGCACATTCACTCACATTTCAGCTGTCATTCTCGAGCTGTTTTTGAGTAATCAGCTGTCTCATCTAACCTTTGGCATGGCGTTCCTCCCTCATAATCAGCCTATCATCTTTCTGCTCCTCTTTTAAATATGACTCTTTCTCTGCCTTTAGTTCCTTCATGCTGATAAAGGAACCCCTTCCCCACCACCCGCCAGTCTTCACAGAATCATCATCCATCAAATCTTCAACAATCAGCTTTTTCATTTCTTAATTGACTTGTCTCTCCTGATTGAAATAAATAACAGAACTCACACATATTTATGCTCCATGATTACAAGTCATGACTAAGTGTATAATGAAAGTTCTTATCTTTCTGGCACACGACTTAATCCAGATGTGTGTGACTTTTTGGTTGAAACATTGTGTTGTGGATGTCAGACTAAATGATTAAATGTTGAACTCTATATCATTAGAGCAAAAATAAGTTTTTAAAAAAGGAAACTAAACAAAGCAAAATGCTGAAACGCATCTTTTTTAAATTTAGAAACACAGCCTGTGTCTCATGAAAGGTTACAACAAAGATCCTCTCAGGAGGTTTTTATTCTAAAGGTTTGGCTTTAGGATCTCCTGGATGTGATCTCAGTATTATCTGTTAACTGATCACTTCGCTTTTCATTTTCCACCACACTAAAACATTTAATAAAACAATGACTTTGTTAGGATTTCAGAAAACTGGATCAAATGAATGTTCAATTCAATCGTGGATTAATATAAGTGATAAAAAGTGTTTCTTTAGATTCATCTTTTTTTAATAAATGAAGAATATAAGAGGTGTTGTCAGCTCTTCTACACACAGGGAGATGGCGTGCTTACCTGTCCAGGGCGATGGCAGTCATAGAGTAGATGCTGGCAAAGACTGCCGCGATGGGAAAGAAATTGTGGAAGCGGCAGTAGACCAGTCCGAAGTACCACTCGTTGTGCACGGCGTAGGTGAAGTTGATCACCGTGTTGAAGGCGGACATGGAGGCTTCGGCGAACGCCAGGTTCAGCAGGAAATAGTTGGTCACAGTCCTCATGCGTTTATGCGCCATGATAATCCAAATCACTATGATGTTACCCACCACGGACACGATCACTATGCAACTGTACGCGATTGCCCAAATAGCGATCCTCCAGACCGGCTGCACGAACTGGTTCCGGTGCTCGGTCCCGTTTGTGCCGTTGGAGTCGGTGGTCAAACGTGGTATGTCGGTGGTGTTGAATAAAGGATCCATCCTGCTGTCACAGTCCAGATGTCACACCACTGGATAGAAGCTAAAACCAACTCATTACGCTTCAGAGTAAAAAGCTCGCGGTGCCACATGCAAGGAGGACAATCCAAAGAGAACTAATTCTCCACTGCGCGCTCAGCTCGGTGCACAGTCTTGGAAATGTGAAATTCTGGCATTCGGTATTTGTATTAATATTCAGTAAACAAGCTCTCGCCACTGAGTGAAAACGGAAACTTTACGCTCGGTATCAGAACAAGTGTGTGATATTCTCTTCCAAGTCCTCGGCTCCCTGCTCTCTCTCTCTTTCTCTCTCTCTCTCTCTCTCTGGCTCCGTGTGCGCCTCCTGCCAATCTGCTCAAACTGAGCGGCTGCGCACCAACTTCTGGAACGTGCCGCCGCGCGCGCACTCGCCCAAAACACCAATTGGTCTCTGTGGTTATGATTATGAATGAGCTCAGGTAAGTCATCCATCCCCATTCAACTCAGAGAAGAACACGCGCCCATCTTATAATAATGAGAAGGAAAAAAAAACTCATTCGGTTTGTGCAGTAAAAGCAACTTTGATATCATGACGTCATTCATCTTGAATAACTAAATTAGATCTCCGATTGGACGGATGATGACGTGTTACTCTGTTGGATGACACGTTGTTTGAATACACCTGGCTCCACTCTCTGTCCTCTCAAATGGACTCTGCTCAGGACTGCATTCAGAGATCAGAGATCCACTGCAGTACGGGAACCTGTCTCTGGGGGCTTTGTTACACATTTACACTTTAAATCTGTATCCTAATAACAGCAATCTCCTGTTACTTTAATAATTACATGATGATGCCTTTATGTTGGGGGGGGGATTGGATCAGATTTTTACTGTAAATTGTGAAACGTGTGATAGCAGGAAACAGATGAAGCCTTCTCAGTGTCTCAACAACAGGATCATTGTATATTGTTCGGAAGAGGTCAGAATGCTCCAGCAACACTTGTAGTAAGAAGATCAACTTTATTAACAATTTAGACCGACGCGTTTTGGCTCGTGGCGTTCATCAGGATCATCCTGGCGAGCCGAAACGCGTCGGTCTAAATTGTTAATAAAGTTGATCTTCTTACTACAAATGTTGCTGGAGCACTTTGACCCCTTCTATGCCTTTCACTCTTCATGCACCTTGTCAGTTGGTGAAGTTTGTGCCAGAAAATCCTCTTTTTCTCTGGTTATATTGTTCAGTCAGGTGTTTTACCCTTTGAAGAAGTCTCTCGTCTGTCCAGCACCCCTTCCCCCTCTCCCTCCTGGCTCAAAGGTTCATGTCTGTATTGGCAGCACATTCAGGATGATGGAGCACATCAACCTCCAGGCCATTAAACTTCTGATTACAGTGACAGACTGGAGAGGTCAGTTTGATCTTTAATACGTCACTGTTCAGTGTCATCACTTTTTTTGGTTGATATATTTGATTAAACCCACTAAATGAACTTAAAGTCATGCTGGTGTCCTATCTCTAAAGATGATCTGTCAGCTGTGCTCCAGACATCTTTAACTACCAGAGGATGACCTTCCTTTGTTTTTTCCTCATCACATTACTTTTCTCTGACAGATTATTAAAGTATCGACAGTCAGCTCTCAACATGTATAAAGGCTTCAATCTGGTGCTGATAGACCTGTTTCACTTCTTAATGTGACTTTCCTTTTGGCTCCAGTTTCACTCTTGATGTTTCTGTTTTTAATCAAGATGTCTCAGCAACTTTACTATGAATTTTCAATAAACTTAAAAGTTTCCTAATTCATGTCTCAGTAGGAGCTTTAAACATGTTAGATCAATTTTAGCACCAATTCATCTAATTTGGATTTTAACTTTGTGACGTTTCTATCATCATGCTGACATTATTTAGATTGTGGTTCACATTTCAAATTAAGATTGTAAACTTTAAACTCTGAAATACTTCTGTGTGTTCGCTGTTTTTTAACGAGCACGCTGCGAAGGTAGCATGAACGGGGGGGGGGGCATTTTTTTCATGATAGGGCACATTTGAGCGGTTTTCATATACTTAACGTTTTGAATCTGTATCTAGCTGAATAGCGGATTTAAATATTCTCTTCTATCACTATATTACTTATAGGCCTCTAACCTCATTGGGAGGCACTAAAGTAACATTAACTTTTGGTTAATGATGTTATGTTGACTGAAAAGCATTATAAGCACTATAAGCTGACAGATATGACCACAGAACCGGTAACTTGCAGTAAGACATTTTTATCACAGGTTTTCTGAAAATGACAGTTGAAATATGAAAACAGGGTGCTAAGTGTGTTTTAATTTCCAACTTGAACTTAATGAAAATGCTTGGCTCAAAATTCTTGTTTCATTATTTTGACCATATTTTAACAGAGGGAATTTTGTATATACATTTGTATAACACCATACATTAAAAGTTACAAAAGTCTCTTTTCTCTGTGTTTTAAAAAAATGAAATCCTGTTTAGATAAGGTTGTGAATGAATTTTATAGTTAATGAAATTGTAATGGATCAAAGTTACACAAGTAATTCTGCAATGCTTAATTCATTAGTTGTCAGCTATTTAATTAATGTCACATTTTTCTTTAGCTTTGGGTCAATTCATAATGCTTTGTTTAACATTAAAATCTTGAAATAGTTCATTTTTCTCTTTGTAATATGTAACAGTAACTTGATTTATTCTCTTTTTCCTTCCTATACAGACTCAATATGTCTGCCAGACTTCGTGTCATACTGAAAGGAGACATTCACAAACTTTCTTTGCCATCTGGAATCCCCCAAAGTGTGGACGAATTAAAGACTATTGTTCAAGAGACATTTGATATTGAGCAAGACTTAAGTTTGCAGTTCCAGGACCAAGATTTTGATGGACAGTTTTTCACTCTCCTTCAAACTAACAAAATAAAGGACAAAGACACCATCAAAGTGGTTCTTGTGGAACCAGAGATCATCTTAACCATTGAGGATTCTCGGAATGTCAAATGAGTCCAAGATAGCTTTGGTAGCAGTTGTGCTGATTCATCAGAGGATGCAGGTTCTTGTTCTGCCGCATTCAGTGACACCATTATTCTGCGTTCTCCAGGAAGCGCCTCTTCCCTTCATTCTGAGTCTTGGCCTGCTCAGTTTGAGGTACCTACCTTCTCCCTTGAAACTGAGCTTATTTTACAAGCTGCCAATGAAGCTCACAAGAAGGATGGAACCCTTCTCAACAATCCTGCTGTAAAATCCAACATTCTGGACAAACTTGCGGAGACCATCTTTGCCTACACCGCCTATCCTTCTCAGGCACAAAGGGAGCAGGTTGCAGAGGCCTTGGTTATGAAGCACCCATGTTTGAGAGACCCAGTGTCCTTCAATGGCTTATATAGTTGGCACAACAGCTTGAAATACAAACTTGGGAATTACAGAGCGAAGGTGAAACACCTTGGACTACCAGAGCTATATGTAAACTGTCTGAAGAGAAAATCAGCTGCAGATAAAACTCCAGCAAAAAACTTAAAGAAGGCTTAGAAATCTGAGGTAAACTACCTCCCACCTCATCCTCAAGGTGACACTGATGCGACCCTTGAAAAAGGGAGAGTGGAGCTTTTCTATGAGCACAAGAGAGACAACAACACGTTAATCAGTGAGAAGATGGCAAAAACATTCTCACTACGTCGAAATGATGTTATCCTCAATAAACCACCAGTGATTGACATCAAAGCTAGATGGCCTGCCCTCTTTGAGCCTTCCCAAGTATGTATATTTTTATATTGTCTTGAATGTTTTCAAATGAAGGGTCTAAAGGATTTTGAAATTATCTTTTTTTTTCAGTTTTGACTTAATTAATTTCTCAGTTTGACAGAATCCCTTGTATTGCCTTCACTGTTGTTTTAGGGTTCATTTAACACCTGTCTTCCTTCCCTGTTTTTCTGGAATTCTTTCTGTGTTTAGTGATGTTTTTTTCCCTCTCTGTCTTGGTCTCTCTTAGATTGAGGAGGAATTTCGGAGGATCACACTGAAGCCATTGCAGTCCACATTCCTGGGGAAGTTGGATCAGTTCTCACCTAAACTGTTGAGCCTGTATAGGAGGAAGGGAGGAGCTGTGGGGAAGAAACTTGATGCGACCCTTGACATGTTAGATGAGGTATGTACTTATATCTATTTACAAATGAGTTTATGTTGTAGCTATATGATTTCTGTGCATAACATTCTTTCATATCTAATTTGTTGTAGGACAACAGCATTGAGTCCCAAAGAGAAGCTGTAATCAGAGGCCTTATTCTCTATCTTGGAGAAAAGATGGAGGATTTAATCAAGGACTACCAGGTAAATAAGACATACCTCTGCTATTACTCTGATTTGAAGCCCTGCCTATTTGAGACAAAATATTTAATTCTAGGATAGCTAAAGGTAGAAGTAATTGTATGCCTTCAGGTTCTAAACTACTGGTAAGTATTTTAACTTATGAAAATAAATACATAAACAGTACAAAACAATAGGGTCTTTTTAGTAAGCCTTGTCTCTTTTATTTTGAAATTCCTATTAATTTAAATGTTCATAAGAGAAAATAGTTCACACATCCTTACCAAGCCATGAGTCTCCATTGGAGATATGCCAATGTTCTGTGGCTAGCACAGAAAAAAACAACTAAACACATAGACATTTACTGTAGGTGAAGGGATTGTTTGATTTTTTTGTGTTTTGTTTTTAGCCAATACATTGACAATAGTTACCTGCTTTCTCCTGGCCGATAAGAGACTTAATGATGAATAATTCTGTGCATCCCTCTTATTGATAAAGATGTAGGTTTGATTCTCTTGTATGGTGTTTTTCACAGATACATGATAATGATGATGATGCAGATGTCCAGGATGCCCTTACGACATTTGTCCTCAACATCTTATTGGTCGGCAAAGCTGGGAGCGAAGGCCAGATGCAAGTTGGGATAGCCATCGAGGGAGCTGAGGTACTTTTTGGTGTTCTCAATGTGGCACATGCTTGTGCTTACCTTATGGGCCTCATCTATGCCCTGGGACTAAGCTACCCTAAGAAACTGAAGTACACCTTTGAGGTCTTTCAGAAGATCTTCCTTGAGCAGGAGGATGGGAACAAAAGAATGTCCTCCAAGGTACATGATCTTAAGGTCAGTCTTCATGCCTAAAAGCCACACACATTTCATTGAAGGATGTGAGTTTGGTTTTATGCTGCACTTTCTCAGGTTACACTGTAAACTATGACTTTTTATACTGGTATACAGTGCATTTTTTT